CTAAATATTTTAGTCTGGCTGAGTACCTACTAACTTTTAGCTCTAATTTGCACACTTATCGTTTATGATGCACAATTATTGTGGGCGACACTGGTAATACAAATTGATGTTGCCAACGGTATGACGTATACTAATCATAAGATAATTACCGTTAACATCCTGCTTATTTTACTATTTTTTCTTTTTTATCCAGTAACATTAAAGACGTATTGTATCTGTTTGTAGTATATGGTTTAATTATTAAAAAGTATTATTAATAATTATAAATGTATAACCTATATATTAATGTACTGTTTAGAAACTTGTTTGCAATACAAAATATTAGAATCACAAACATATACCTACTAGCGTACATTGCTTATTTTGCAATATTGCAATGCTGTTTCTTAAATTAGTAAAGTAAAATATTTATGACGTGACACAATTAATTCTTAAAAACAGCAGTGTTTTTTATTTTCATAACCATTGTATACTACTGATTCTCACTGCTGTGTGTTAAAACCTAAATGGGATTTAAAACAGCTTTCAGTGATAACAATAGTCATAAAATACACGCAATGTTTCGCTTTAAGAAAAATATAATAATCTACGAGTTGCAAAAACCACAACGTACAAATTTAACGAGATGTTTTTTTTACTTCAAACCGTTATAAATAGAAAGTAGTACCGCTCCATAAAATTATCTTACAATTAAACAAATACTAATATAGTAATATAGGTATAAGTCGAGGTCAACTAATTATTTAATTTAGAAATTACTAAACATTTTAAAAAGTTATGTCCATTGGTTAAAAACTACTTTTTACATAACAGATATTATAAAGGATTAAAAGTTTATTTTCATAAGAATAATTATCTACAAAAATTATTATTTGTTGCAGTTATTATTACCATTTGTAATACTTCTTTAATTAGATATTTTACACTACGAGGGGTATAGAAAACATATCTACGTAGCCGTGACGGAAATAACTGACCACGTTAGTTTGTAAAATTAGAAAGTTGCAGTATCATCAAATTTTTAATAAAGGAACATGATAGTCCTAAAATATTCACGAACCAATTATTTCAGGATGTGAAAAAGAAGTTCTATAACATTTTAGAGTAAAATATTGATCTGTTTAGATAGTGAATCCATTGAAGATGATGCCAGAAGCAACCAAAATGGAAACAATGGTTCTCGAAGATCATCTTTTGAAACTACTATTACTAAAATATTATATATATTTGAACCAAACATTTTGACTATTCTACATGATAAATACATGAATAAGTTTTAGTAAGGTTTCTCTAAATAATTTAAAATATTTGAATGTAACATTTTTACCTTAAATAGTGACAGATCACCAGGACACAGAATACAAAGCAATTGTTCCTTATTCTGTGACTAGGATCCAGAAACGAAATTAGGGTTATGCAATGGACGGACCCATATGGGTTCTCCGGCTTCAAACAAAGCTCGCACACAAAAGTTCATAGTTACGACCGACTAGGAATAATTATTGTTGAATATAGGTATGCCGAATGACTACAATAACTCCAGTTATATACCTACGGCAACACGTTAACAAAATTACGTACGATTATTCACCCAAAAAACTTCCTGGTTTGCGTCATAAAAGTGTCGTCCTTGTTCGCGACAACTTTCTGAGCTGAACCACCCGCCTTATAGTTGATAAGATAACGAGTTGGAAGAGGATGAATATTGCTGCATATTTTGAAGGTCAACATGAATTATTTCTGTTAAAGAGAGGTTAGTATTAAAAATAAAATTATCAAAAAATTATCTATTGTTTCATTGTTAGCGGTGAGGCTTTTCTGGGGCCATATTTAATTTGAACCTTCCGCGGGGATATAAAAGTTGTTAAATTTTTGCCAGCAACGGGAGACCTAGAAAAGTTCTGTTTAATATTTGACAATTTTGCTATTATGAAGGCACATAATTTTTGGTTATGATTTTGTAAAAAGATATTGATGAAAACAAATCTCAAGGGATGTTGGATAAAATAAACGTAAGAAATATTAAAAGAAAACAGACCGTAATAGAGGATTTGGTAGATCTGTAGCTAAAAGAAAAAGAAATTCCAATTGTTACCAACTCGTTATCATAGGGAAGTTTGAAAAATTCTGGTAGAAAAACAATAAATGTACCTACAGGGTGAGTAAATGCTTATGTAATGAGATTTGAAAAAAAACAATTGAATTCTATATATATGTAAGTTACCAAGAAAAAAGGTCTGTCATTTTATTGAAAACAAAGCTAATTTTCGAGGTTATAGATTTTAAATATTAAATATTAAATATTAATTGAAACGTCGAAAAAATATTGGTGTAGAAATTTTTATTTTATGAGAAGTTGCAGTAGTTTTAGTTACGAGAAAATGCAAAATTTCTACGTTTTGTACTTCGTGAACACCTAGAATGTATTTAAAATCGTATTTTTAGAAAAAATTACTACCCTCGGATTTTTGTTTTTTTACGTCTCTTACTACCGACTGAGCCGACTAATTCAGTCGCAGCGAAGCCTTTGCAGAGTCACCACTAAAGATACCGACAGTGCAGAACAGCTAAACGTTTAGATGCATTGGATGTGACTAGTTGCAGAGGCCACGGCGAAACATTTTATAGTATGTACTACTATTGTCTGAGGAACATGGACCTATATAGGTGTTCTGATAGCGGGTCCGCCCCCACAAAGCCTAGCCCGAGAACAAGGGCAAAACAAAGATTCCTTGCTAAGGCAATGTAAATATGTAACTAACGGCAATGAAGTATGTAGGCCACGGCATAGCAAGCCGAAAAAAACACGTTTTTGGACATTTCAACCGAATCCGAATGTAGCTCAAGCATAACAGGGATGATTCACAGGGTGGATAAAAAAATCCGAGATGGAAAAGAGAGATGCAAAATATTGCGCAAGTTTACCTTACAAACCCATATAAATTTTTTAACGGTTTAGAGGATTTACAGGATGTTGAAAATATTAAATTAGTTCTGGTGATAACCAGAAACGAACGATTTTTTTTTCTATTTGTTCACACACATGTTTCACGCTGTAACATTTATGTCAGTAAAAATAATTTGAATTGTATGCGTAGAATTCAAGTTATGACAATGGATAAGTGAAACAACGGTTAAGTGAAACAACTCAATAAAATTTGTTGTTGAAACATGGCGTTCTGGGATTCAGCTGTGCTTTTTGCAAATAAATGTGCTGTGTTTTCATAATACAATTGAATAAGTCACTTCGGTCATTTAGGTTTTAGAATTTTGATGTTTTTTTCTTGTATGTTGCGATCAATAATATATGTATATAACAAATTTGAAAGAAATCGTGTAATAAAAATTAAATATTAATTTAAATATATAACAATGAAGTTGTGCAATTCCGTTACTATATAATTATCTAAAAAATCGACTAGAATAGGTGTACTTTGAGAGAAGTATTTAACAATAGATGTAGATATACAAAAATCGACACAAATATGATTAGATATTGTTAAATATCTGAAATACATGTAAATCAATTGAAATAATTTAGATAGCTACACTTCTAAACACTTTTAGTCTCAATTGCAGTCCAGTTTTATTCTTAAGGTGGTTTGGTTTATTGGTCAAGCTCTGGATTTAATAATTTTGATTTTCTTTTCATAAATAAGTAAATATATATTTACTGAATTATTAATTTTTTATCAAACCAAACATTTGGTAATACATTCTGATACAGCTAAACTGCTTATGGCAAAAATCTATGAGTATATAAATAAATTTGTCCGATTTTAAAAAAAGACATACACCTTTGGTTATAATAAAGCAAAAAACTGGACGAAGGCCTATTATTTACTGTACTGTAGTAGGTAAGAGACAAAAAAAGTTAATTCAAATTTGACCTTTTGGACTTCAAATTTTTTTCCATGGGATACGACTGAATGTTATTAAGTAAAGTTATTGAAATGAAGTGTACAAAATTTCAATGTCATCAACACACACACTTAATTTAAGTGAATTTTTCAAATTTGTTATATTTTCTCAAAAAATTAAACATCTTAGCAGTATTCACGATCATCGAAAAATCTTATGGAAAGGTCCTCTTGTATTTAATGTTTCGAAGCACACTTAAAAACTAAAATTTATTTATTTCGCACTAAAAGATTTGAACATAAAATAAAATTGTTCTATACAATCGTAGGCATTAAAATATGTCATAAAATATTTATCGATTACGTTATAAAAATTACGAAATTTAAAAATAAATAATTTATCTTGGAATTTATCCTTATTTGAACGGAAAATGTGGTCGCAAACTATTAACCCATAAGCGAGGGAAAAACCGCTGGCCAAAATTGTACGCTAAAATACTCACTTTCATAATTAATTACAAGTATTACTCAAATAATAAAGACACCAGGGTGACGTAAATAGTTGTTTTAATACCCAACTACTACTGACGTATTACCAAAATATTACTCAGTTTTACTCAAATATTACTCAAAATTGTGCCCTAAATTACTCCTGCAATTTCTTCATTGCCCAGAACCGAGATGAGGCAAAAAAAAAAACAACATTGTAGTCAGTTTTTCATTCTGAGAAATTTTTCTGTCGTATATCGTACGAAAATGGCACATTTTTTTTCAAAATTTCCAGGGCTTACTGCATACGGATTTGAAATCATAGCAGATTTTATTTCACAATCACAACCAAGCAGAGCTGAATCCCAGGTCATTTTTCAACGCCAATATTTGTTGTCTCTTACAAGAGTCGTTTCACCGATCTGCCGGGGACACGCTGTATACTGTACGCAAATATAGATTTAGGAAGCGCACTGTGAAATGCTATAAAAGTTTAGTTAACTTTAAAATCTTAACATAGGGCATAAAATATTACTAAACCTATATAAGACATATGAAAGTTAGAATTAGGTAATTCTAGAAAGTCTAATTCGTTTAAGATTTTTTACTAAGTATTACCCAGGCGATTAGCAAAATGCTTATAAAACTTACCCAGGCTCTGACAAGTGCAAGAAAAATTAACATTTTCCGCTGTTTAATTCAGAATTTTAACAACACTGGCTTAAACACAGAAAAACTTTAATAACGCCGTGGATTGCATTTAGGTACTACAATAAAGATACATTGTAATTCTCCAATAAAAAGTCCTGAAAATTAGCTGCATTCCTCCTACAAGTAGGTACAGTTTTATATTTGACATTTGTTGTTTCGTATTGACCCATGTTGCCAGTTAGAAGAAATAACATTATCTCACTTCCAAGAATGGTCATCCATTACTACTCACAACACTATTAAATAATAAACTGAACACCTTAAAAACTAGAGAATATATTATGTGTGTCTCATATTCAATTCGGCGTGAATTTACGTTATGCCGACAAAACGTGTTTCATTTGAATGCACAACAATTGGCAACAATGTAAAGACTGTAGTAAATTCACGCAGAGAGTTCAATAAGGTATTAAGTGTTGCCAGACGTACTGTAATTACGAACTTTTACCACGAGTAAGAGCCACTGAACACTGAAGACCATGGAAGATTTATAGAAAAAGAGACGGTGAATCAAGAAATATTTTAATAAATTCAATGCGGTTAATAAAACAGGCACACAAAAAAAATCATATTACGTAGACTAGACACCCCTATCCCGATGTATTCTAAGTTGTTGAATACAAATTTGATATTAGAATTGCGCCATCACGTCAGGTTTTTTTCTAATCTCAAAAAAATAGAAGGAAATAGAAAAAACTGATGACATCTTCTGACATCGCAAGAAACAACCGTGCGTGTAATAATAAAAATGAATACTCAAATACTTTATACTCGTAAACGTATAGGTTAGAATTCTAACCTAACATTGAAAACTGGCGTGAAAGCATCCGAAACATTCAAATTATATGGAAATCCAGACCTCGCATTTCTCTAGCACGTTTTTTAATGAGTTGAGTTCAAATTTGATACCAGAATTGATCAATCGAATCTAAGCTCACAATATTTTTTACTCTATTTTAAAGGTATTAAGTCAATTAAAAGTCAAACAATGTTCGACAGATATCTAACCCCACAGACAAGAATCTTAACTGTTGACATTGCGGGAAAAACCACTCTATGGGCAACATAGGTACTCCATCTAGCATTAAATTACACCAGCAATACTTGGACTTACATAGAAAAAAATATTAAAATAATAATAGCAATTAAATATACATACGTTCCTATGTACTAAACTAGGAAAATGTTTATTCATTGAACAGAAAAGATTTAAATTTACTTTTAAATTTTAAGGAATTTAAACGACATGGGCGTAGCTAGGGGGGCAGGGGTGTGCACGGCCCAGAAAAAAAAAGATCCAATAATAATAATACTAATAATAATAATAATTTTAGAATCAAACGAAAGAGTTTTAAGTTTTGACATTTTACATCGGTAAGTCGCTGATTGCAGTTTTTTTTTAGAGGTCTCCACATAGAGCTTGCAGCCCTGGCCCACCTCGAGCAAAAATTCTAGCTACACCCATGCGTAGAAATTTACTAGGTAGCTTAACAGGAAGTAACGACGAAAGCAAGCCGTGTGATATAAAAGCAATTGTACATTTTTAACAAGTATCTCGTAACTGTATACAAAATCGCAATAATTCAAATAATATAAAACAAAAGATCGCGGAGACACTTGAGGTAAACCTATTAGAGGTAATATTTATATCATGAAAATTTAGTACTACTAAAAATTGTTTGCGAACGATTAAATAAATATGATTTCATCGGTTTAATTGTTAATTCATAAAAACCGTAAAATTCAATTTGTAACGAACTAATTCATTATTAATAGTAGCACTTTAGACTTATCTAACAAAATCAACGTATAATCTCTCCTACCACAGTCACGGATGCGGAGAATATCCGGTTTGGTTCTGACAGGGGAATTGTTTTAGGACAGTTCGAATTAGCCGACCATATCATTTATCGGAACAACTAAGCGAAGCGATATCGACAATATAACTGGGTAACTATTCCGGACTGTTCTAGAACTGTCGTGACAGAACCAAAATAAGTCTTAGCTAACGCTACACAAGTACCCAAATTCATTTCTAAATTTACACTGACAATCAGGTAAAGTTTTATTACTATCTTATCTATCTGTATAATCTTAATAAATAAGCTTATTCTATATTTATCTTTATCTAAACCTTTACACATCAGGATGAATAACCGATGGGTGTTTTATATTACCTTAAAACCAGAGATTTCCCGTCATATGCATCATTTATTAGAATACTTGTCATCATGGGTAAAACTTTATGTTTCGAGATTTGGGATTTTTTTTTCACACAAGCAATGTGTTCAACTGCGTTATTGCTCCTGTTATTATAAATAAAAGTTAGATAATAGACAGCTACCCCATTTTCATAATCCCTATTTGTGAGGGAATAATTAGAATAGGAGGTAGGTTAGCATAATAGCTAATAGTAGGTTAGCAATTATTTGGATAAGAAATATCCCATTTGTTTCCCTAAATCTGACCACTTCGTTACGTTCATTAGATTAATCAGGTATAAGTTTTTTGCCTATACACGAACATATTTATTATATTCATTATTGTGACAAAATTAGTAGATTATATATACTAGAAGCCAACGCACCTCGAAGTGCGGATATTGTTGTCGTCTAGGTAACTCCTAAATCCTAAACCAACCTTTCCAGTTTCGTATTGATATTGAATGAATACTAGTTTAAGGGTTTTTGTTCCACCGCTTATACGGTCGCTTTGCTATTAGTTTAAGTCATCGTAGAGGTTTTAATACACCAAAGAATAGAACCAAAACTTTCTGTAGACCAAAAGTATCTATATCTGTAGACGCGTACTATGCTAGTTTATTTTCGAACAATGCCACTGATTGAAGATGTCCTTCAGCGCAAAGTTTTAAAACAAAGTATAATGGAAATTCAAACCCCTTTCTATCCCTTCTGATATTTGATTGGTGATGAGAAATTGCCGACCCTTTCGTTACCACATTTTGTGAACGTTTGGGAGGAAAATATAAGACGTGAAAATTAATCTGAAAAGAGTTGTTGATACTCAAATTCTCAACTACGAGAAGTTCAGTACCTTTCTCAAATCGAATTTTCAACAACTCATTTTATTTATGTAACTTCATTAAGAGATTCAGGGGCCCGATTCTCGAATTTGTGCTGATAACAAAATTGTCGAGTGCCACGTGTGTCACGGATATTGTCGCATCGTTTAGAAATAGTGTATTCTCGAACAGTCATGAACATAACATTATCCAATTATGCCACGTAATATTTGCAAATTTGCATCAGTGTCAACAAATCCGTGGTGACTAGATAGTTGTTTATGGGTCTGTTCAGTGTTCTGTTATTAGAACACTAGATTTCAGTAAAACGCACTTTTGTTGAGGGGTTGGCGGCTTTGCTAAGAGAAACAACTGGGAATAGTAGTAAATTGCTCCGAAAGTTCGAAATTTGTTAACTAACAACTTTACTGATCGATGAAAGACCGCACAACAGCTAAAATACACACGTGTTCATTCTTCACTAGGTTTCTTCACTGATTTCCTTAGCAGGTTGCCAACTCCTCTATTTAGTGCGTTTTGCTGAAATTCTACTGAAGCTAATTACAGAACGGACCCTATATCTATTATACAGGGTGATTCAGAACTTATCCAAAAAAAAATTCTGAATGTACAGGGGACCCTTACAAATACAATTTTGTAAAGAAAAAATCAAAAAGGGCAGTTCGAAAATGATTTAAAAATACACTTCTGCACGGCACTGGAAACTGGTCCACTGTAAAACCTGACCTCGCACAATGCGACCGGCATGGCGCGGCGGTGTGATAAAAACGGACAAAAACTTTCGCAAGAAAAGAAATAAATCAGTTTCTACGAACTAACACGAATGTTGTCTTGCTTTACCATAACACAAATGCTTCACCATAATACAAATGTCTTGCTTTACCATAAATTAAAACGATATCCATCAACTCCGAGTTGCTATACACGCAAACCAATTTTGACACTAACTACTAAAAAAACTATTGTAAACACCACATATAAAAGGTAAACATTATGGCAACGACGATTACAAAGTCGGATTTCAGTATTCGGAATCGCTGAGGCCACGTGGCTCTCCACGCGCATTGCGAATGACGCTAGAAACTACAGTTGTCCAGCTATGTAGTGGTTAAATGTACTATAACTTCAATAATTTTTTTCTCGGAAACCAAGGATTTTACAAAAATTCTTTTTACGATATTGACTCCATTTCTCATGCTGCATCTATTCCCAAATTTTTTTGGATAAGTTGCGAATCACCCTGAATTTTTGCATATGTTTTATGCGCTGATGATTATCGTTGATAAAGTCACAGATTTAAAATAATATATGATGGACGCGAAAAACAACATACAGCAATAAAAACAAGCACTAATAAAATTTATAAAACGTATATTTAATGGCTTTATTACTTTAGTCGTTTATATACCTACATTTTCTTATTTTTATTGTCATTAAAGTGATAAAGGATATAATCTTTTTCTGATATTGCCCGATTCTTCAAAATTCCTAAGAAATTTAATCCAGTGGTCAAATATCTGCAATTCTACAACCTGTTTAAAGCTTACATAACTTCTTTAATTAATGGGTTACTAAATTGTATGTATGTACCCCTGATATACGGGATATTTTACATATTTTTGATTTTTACATTTTACAAGTATAGGTAAAAAAGAGGACGCACTTAATTTAGAATGAAATGGAAATTAAGGTAACCCATAATAAAAACTAAACGCTAAACCATACCAAGACCTAAACATAATAGTCGCGGTTCAGACATACATGTAAGACCGAAACGAAAAATTAAAATATAATATTATTTTACATTTTTTATCTTGGAATTTAAACTTATATCCTTGTTTCTTATCTGTTCCAAATAAAAGCTCCAATACTTGCCCATTTCTTCAGGATGAAGGTATTGTGTTGCATAATATAATGGGTACAAACGTGACATAAGGAGATGACATTTTGATTGGGAAAATCATAATCACAGAGCATCATCGTAATATTCCCCAAGTTTAAATATAACATAGTTAGACAACCAGTCAAGCTTGTGAATGACAACACTAGAACTAGAATGATGCTCCCTAACGTGCTTATTTATTTACAAAACTATATTTAATATTAAATATTATTTATACAATATAATTATATATTATTTATATAATATTTGATATACAGTAACTGGTAACTACAACAGAAAATTTAAATTCATTTTTCTCTTAAACCATGTAATTTATGGATTGGCAACAATATACCTTTTTTATAGTAGTAAATAAATTGACACATATTCTTAAAATTTCTGTCAATAAAAAAAATTGTAAAAACAGAACTCTAGGATG